CTACCCCACCCTCCCACCCCAACCCACCCCCCACCCTACCTAGAACTAAAAAAAAAAATTTTACCTTATTTTTTTTTGTGCAATTTCAAATTTCTGTTTTTTCGTTTTTTGCACCACCCACCCCACTCTCCCCCCCTCCCCCGGACAAAAAAAATATTTTACTTCTTTTTTTATAATTTCAAATTTCTGCTTCCCCATCCCCCGGCCCCCTGCCCTCCCCGAAAAAAATATTTTTTAAATATATTTTCCAGTTTTAGTTTTTTTTTTTATCGGTTTAAAGGTTCAAAATTTTACAAGTACCAAAGTTATGAGTTCGGAGGTTATGTGTTTGGAAGTTTACGGGTTTAGAAATTATAAAGTTTACGGGTTCGAAATTCCGTGGTTTCGAAAGTTTATGAAATTTGTGGATTCGGAAGGTTGTTGGTTTGAAGTTTATGGCTTCATGTTTATTATATCTAAATTATTTATGAATACTCTTGAGAAGTCATTTTTCTTAATTTGCGTACCAAACACCGGAAAATGAATAAGATTACTACTTGTTTTCCAAGAAAATACGGAAAACATTTTCCGTTATACCAAACACACCCTTAATCTTCACTTTTTTTTTTCTTGTTGATAAATCAGCTTTATAATCTTTTCCCTTCAATCTGGTTGAGCAGAAACATAACAGAATTTGGATGAAGTAAAAATATTGCCTCTGGTTTAACAGGCATCTATTGATGCTTGGAAATCCCTCTTTGGAACAAGCTTATTTGTACCTAATGTTTGGTGGTGCAAATACCAAGTATTTTCAACCCAATGGTGTGTTTGTTACGATGGAAAATAGATTTTTGATAAATGTCTTTTTAGATAAATATTATTGGGGAGAGGTCCCGTGGAATTAGTCGCACAAAATTGACCTGGGCACCACGGTTATTAAAAAAAATTTGCCGAAGGAAAAGTTTTTTCATTAGAAGGAGAAACATAATACATATGGATGGAAGCTATTTATCTTCTTTTCTTTTTTAATCTTTGCCAAATTATGGGTGTTAATATGCATAGTAAAAATTTCAAGTCTTCTAAACAAGATCAGAGTTACTATTCCATTTGACGTTACAATAAAATAGAAAGCCATGATTAATTCTGTTATCATAAAGTTTAGTACTCCACACAAAAAATCAGAAAGGTAGTTTCATCGATATGACCGTGCTGTTTATTATCACCGCGTTTGTTTATCATAGTTGACTTGATTAGTATAATATTTGGTTTGGATATTGAAAATTATTTTTGTTAGATATATAAATTACATTAAGAGCCTGTTTGGAAAGCACCTAGGAATTGGATTTGGGTATAATTAGGTGTAATTACACAGTTTGACATGTTTGTTTGGCCAAGTAATTACTTGGTCAGCATGTAATTGAGTGTAATTGGAGGGGTGTAATTACACTCTCCAATACTGAAGGGGGAGATAAGAATTGGTGGTAATTACACTGTGTAATTACAAGGTTGCTTTTTTAGTTTCTTTCCTTTTTATTTTATTTTAATTTATCTTCTTTATAACTTTTTATTTCTATTATTTTAATTTTTAAATTTTATTTTTACTTTTTATTTTTTTTGAAATTTTAAAATATATTTTTCTTTGTACATTATTTATCATTTATTTCTCTACCTTTACTTCTTGTGATTTCATGTAATTGCTTATATTTTATTATTTATTTATTTTATTATTCTATTTTTTGAAACTGCACCTCCTAATATTAGAAATAATGAGTCATTATCAAACTTGGCATATAATGAGTGATGCAATTAAAGTAAAATTTCGTTGTTAAATGTGGTTATAAACTTATTATGTTTTCTAATCTTAAGTCGTAGTGGAACTTACTATTATTATGTTGGAATTTGATATATGTTTAAACTATTTTTTTGTGTGTTTTAAAATTGTGCTATATTCATGGTTCCAATTTGCTTGTTTTAGTAGTATTGGCTCACATTGCATGTTGTTCATTTTTTAGTTAGAATTAATATTTTCGTTTTGACAAACATTTGAATAATGTTATGACATTATATTTATATATATTAATTTATTTTATCAAACATGAATTCCATGATGTTCTTACAAAACATATGTTTTTAGTTTTGTAAGTATCTAAACTAAATATTATTAATTTAGAAAATATATAAAAATTAATTTTACAATTATTAATTATAAATATGTGATTACTAATTAATGTATGTTCACGAAAAAAATATACATCTTAAATACCAAATATAATATCATTTATACTTATAAAAATTTATAGGCATATATTTATTATATTAACTTTTAAGTTTTGATAATTACTTCATTTAAAATTTAATCTAACCGTGTAATTACACTTGTGCAACCAAAAAGTAAACTTGTAATTACACTGTAATTACATTATAACAAACAAATAGGTCGTCTAGGCTGTGTAATTGCAACCCTAGTAATTACATCAATTCTAATTACCCGGTGGCTTTCCAAACAGACCCTAAAGCTATACAACAAAATTATTAAATTAGATTAGGGGATCTTCACACAAATAGTGGACCGAATTCATTCTAAATCATTGAATATTATTAATATCTTGGGAAAATCACTCCACCGGAATCTTCTTTGTTAAAAAAAAAAAAAAAAGAAACTCAAAGATAAATACAAAAACAATACTTAATATAATTTTCTCCTGGAGTTTACAAATAAAATAAAAAGAAGTGCGCCACTCTGTTTGCTTGAAGTATCACATTATTTGGCAAACACCCAGGTACTATTTCTATTAATTTCTTTTATTTTAAACAAACCCAAAATATGGTTAACTAAATAATTAGGTATTAAAAAACAGATATAATTTTTCTCTTTTAATTCTGAAATTCTTGTAACTCCTAATTTGTGTTAGTTGGATTTGCTGTGATTCATTTAGCTGTGTTGATTTTCGTATGACCAATCTTTCCTCAGATATTTCAGTTAAATGAACTGAAATTGATTAAAAGATTACTTCTGTAGAGAAGAGAGGAAAGTTGCTTCAATAGGCCGATAGCCAGATTTTGATTTAATATCCTTTTCTGTGCTTAACTTATATTGAGATATACCGAGGAAATGAGTTCAATGTAGGTAGCACTAGGGTAAGAATTTCTGTTTTTTTTACTAATGAGGGAAAAATCCATAGTTGTTCTGTTAAGTCATTTGCAAAATTCCCATTTGTTTGGTTTAATTTATTACTTCTATGGAAATTGATCTTGAATTAGATGTGTATATGGGTAAAAATGCAATTGATGATTCAAGTCAAAGTCATGCTGGGGTAGAATATGTGAAAGAGAATGTTGAAAAAAGTGGCGATGCAATAGGTATGGATGTTGTGGATGTCGATATTATAGATAAGGGTGTAGGCAACAACGAGCCACAAAAGGGTATGGAATTTGAAACAAAGGAGGCTGCTTATTCTTTGTACAAGGAGTATGCGAGGTCACTAGGATTTGGCATTACGATAAAGGCAAGTCGTAGGTCAAAGAAGTCGGGTAAATTTATTGATGTGAAGATTGCATGCTCTAGATTTGGGGCCAAGCGCGAGTCTGGTAGTTCTCGATCATGTCCCAAGACTGACTGCAAGGCCAGTGTGCATGTGAAGAGAAGGCAGGATGAGAAATGGTATATATATAGCTTTGTTAAGGAACATAATCATGAAATTTGCTCTGATGACTTTTATTGCTCCGTCAGGGGAAGGAGCAAGCAATCTGCCAATGTAGTTTACCAGAAAAAAGGATTGCAGCTTGCATTAAATGAGGGGGATGTGGAAGTGTTGCTTGACACTTTAGCTCTTATGCAAGCTGAGGGTCCAAATTCTTATTATGCTATAGACTTTGACAAAGAAAAACGTATGAGGAACGTATTCTGGGTTGACGCAAAAGGTAGAAACGATTATGGCCATTTTTGTGATGTAATTTATTTGGACACCTATTACATCAGAAACAAATATAAAGTCCCATTTATACCTATCGTTGGGGTCAATCATCATTTCCAATTTTTATTGCTCGGATGTGCCTTGGTTGGGGATGAAACATCATCAACTTTTGCTTGGTTATTGCGCACTTGGCTTAGAGCTGTAGGTGGCCAGAGTCCTAGAGTAGTTATTACTGATGATGACACTTCCGTGAAAGAAGCAGTAGAGGAGGTCTTCCCTGAGGCACGACATTGTTTTTGTTTGTCGCATGTAATGGAGAAAGTTTCTCAAGATCTAGGTAATAAGATAAGTAAGATCGAAGATTTTGTAGACAAGTTGAAGAAATGCATGTGGTTGCCACTTAAAGAAGAAGAATTTGAAAAAAGATGGTGGGAAATGGTTGATACATTTAAGCTGAGGGATGATGACTTGATTCGATCATTGTTTGAAAATCGAACAAAATGGGTTCCAGTGTACATGAGGAATACTTTCTTGGCTGCACTCTCTACTGTTGAGCGGTCTGAATGTGTATCCTCCTCCTTCGAAAGGTATATTTCCTCTGAGACTACATTCAAAGAGTTCAATGATGGGTACAAGCTATTCGTGCATGACATGTATGAAGAGGAAGCAAAAGCTGATATTGAAACACGTCACAGACCACCTACCATAAAAACTCTTTCTCCTTATGAGAAACAAAT